GATTTGTTGCTGTTCCTCCACGCTGTTTTCATTTCCACAACAAAACTAAAATCTTATGCATTCCCAACCTTCCTAGCACTTGGGGAGATGCTGTTTTGAGATATTTTGGGATGCTGGAGAGGGGGATGTGGGTGAGCACGACTCCTCTGTGCAGATTTCCTGACGGTTGTGGCATCTCCAGCGATGGCTCTGTGGATTTTGGCACCAGCTCTTCCCAGGGTTGTTCCCAGGGATCCATCCTGTGTGACACAGCCCCAGCTGTGCTGCAGGGATGTTCCCATGGCTGGGATGGGGAAGAGGAAGTGGCTCAGACCAGCAGAACCCCCGGGTATTGCTGCTCTGTCCCCACGTTTGTCACTGGGGGTCATTCCCACAGCTGGGTTAGGGGTGCAGGGCTTTGGGGGTTTCGTGCTCTGCTCCTTTCTGGGATCATCCCTGCAGCCACCCCAGTGCCAAACAGAGGCTGCAATTATCAGAAATTATAAATGGGGAATGGATTAGGGAAGAAGTGTAATGAGAAAAGTGACTTTCAGGGCTCGACACCAATGGAATGGCTTCAAACTGACAGGGAGCAGCTTGAGATGGGATTTTGGGAAGGAATTGTTCCCTGGCAGGGTGGGCAGGCCCTGGCACATTTCCCAGAGAAGCTCTGGCTGTCCCTGGATCCCTGGCAGTGCCCAAGGCCAGGCTGGAGCAGCCTGGGACAGTGAAAGGTGTCCCTGCCATGGCAGGGGTGGCACTGGGTGAGCTTTAAGGTCCCTCCCAACCCAAACCAGGCTGGGATTCTGTGGAATTGAGATTCTGGGAGTGCTCAGGCAGGAAAGATCTCCTGCCCCGGGCAGTGGAAGCTTTGTGGGCTCAGTTGTACCCTGCCCAAACCTGGAGATGTGAAGCTGCCACGTCCTCAGAGCCCCCCCAGCTCCCTGGCTTTGTCCCCTGTGCTTTATGGGGTGACCCAGAGCTGGTGCTGGCTCAGTCCTGGGGTGCCCGTGGTGTGTCCTCAGCAGCTGTTCACAGGCACCAGTGTGTGCCTGATGCTTCCTGTGATTTCACAGGAAACTTCTCTGCTGACGAGTTGTGTGGCCCTTTTTTTTTTTTTTTTTATTTTTTTTCCCCCCCCAACTCAGGTTTTTTTTTTTTTTTTTGGTCGATTGCTGAGCCATGCTTCAAGTTTTCCATGAGGTTTTCACAATCCAGCCTGTGTGATGCCATTTCCTGGTGCTGGGGAGGTCGGGATTGCCTCTCCTGGTGTGTGTGAAATGCACTGGAACTCCTCACACTGCTCAGTTGTGTGAACACCCCTGGACCACAGAATGGGGCTGATGTGGCACCACTGGAGCCCTTCCCCAGGACTGACATCCCCACTTTTGGGATCTCTTTGTTAATCCTTCTGTCTTGTGGGCTGCTGTGGGGTTTTTTTTTCCACCCCCTGTTTGTTCAGCCAGCCCTTGAGGCTGCAGGGAAGGTGCCTCTTGTAGGATCTCAAAGAGACTAAACATCAGGGGCTGCCAGATGTTCCTTTCCCAGATTGTTGCTGGCAGATGTTTCCCAGAGCAGCTGATTCCAGTGTTTGGATCTGCAGGAACATTTGGAGCAGTCCCTGATTCCCAGCCTGCAGCTGTGTCCCTGCTGTCCCCACGGTGCTCCCACCCTGGCACGGAGGGCAGGACCTGTGTCCCTTTCCCACCTCACCTGGGCACCTGTGACACACTGGGGACCCCAGTTTGGACCCTGGGGATCCCAGTTTGGACTCTGGGGACCCCAGTTTGGACCCTGGGGACCCCAGTTTGGACTCTGGGGATCCCAGTTTGGACACTGGGGACCCCAGTTTGGACTCTGGGGACCCCAGTCTAGACACTGAGGACTCCAGTTTGGACACTTGTAATCCCAGTTTGGACCCTGGGAATCCCAGTTTGGACCCTGGGGACCCCAATCTGGACACTAGGGACTCCAATTTGGACCCTGGGGATCCCAGTTTGGACACTGAGGATCCCAGTTTGGACTCTGGTGAGCCCATTCTGGACCCTGGGGACCCCAGTTTGGACCCTGGTGACCCCAGTTTGGACCCTGGTGACCCCAGTTTGGACCCTGGGGACCCCAGTTTGGATCAGCCCTGCTCCCCTGGCTGCTGGGCAGTGGGGTCAGGGGGAGCAGTGCAGGGAATGTCCCCTGTGGGGTGCAGGACACACAGGCTGTGCCTGTGGCATTCCCTGCTCCCCAGGGACGGGCTGTGGGGAGCTGGGGGGTGTGGGATGAGAGCAGCCCCATCTCTGCTCCCTGGCAGCTGCTTTTGTGCTGTCTGTGCCTTCCCCCAGCCTTCCCCTGCTGCTGCTCTCACAAAGAGTCTCTTGTGATTCTGCCAGACTGGGAAGCCTCTTGTTGAACTCTTTTTTTTCTTTTTTTTTTTTCCCCCCTTTTCCCTTCGAGTGGTGTCAAAAGCTGGCTCTGGGTAACTCTGGTAATTTGGGCAGCTCTGTCTTGCTGGACCACAAAGGAGCAATGTGGTTTTAGGCTGAACCTCTGCCAATCAAGCAGAGCAAAATCCCAGAATCCCAGGATGGGTCAGGCTGGAAGGGAGCACAGAGGGTCACTGGTGTCACCTCCCTGCTCCATCCCAGGGCACAGCAGCTCTGGGATATCCCCAGGGAGGAGATTCCATCCCCTCTGTGGGATCTGCTCAGGGCTGGGCACTCAGCAGGGAAGAATTTCTTCCCTGTGTGCAGGTGGAACTTTCTGAGCATCAGTTCCTGCCCATTCCTCTTGTCTCATGCAACAAATCCTCTTGAAAAGGGGAAAAAAACCCTTCCAGTGCATTGTGGAAACCAGAGCAGGAGCAAAGCATGGCTCACCTTTGTTACCTGCTGGCACTTGTGGGGTTTTTTTGGCAGTGATTTCTCCAAGCTTTTTCCAGCTGGGAAGTGACACGTCCTGCTTGCAGGCTGTGACACCCGGGGCCCTCTCCAGGTCCCTGGGGTCACCCTGTCTCTGCATGGTGACATGTAAAACCCTCTGGCACTGCTCCTTCAGCTCCTTTTTGGGCAAAGCCCTCTGCTCACCGGGAATCCTGCCGGGCAGGGACATTCCCCTCTCCCTAGGATCCCCTGCAGCACTCTTAATTGCTCTAATTAGGATTTTATCTTGGGAGTTTCCCGTTGCTGAAGCAGCTCTCTGCCAGTGTGAGGGCTGTTGGTACAAAGCTGCTTTTCAAGGGTTGCCCATCCCTGGGGGGTGTTATCTTGGTTTATTTTGGTTTCTTTTTTTTCCCCTGTATTTTCCTGTTAATGGGCAGCTCAGGATGGGGACAGGGAGTTCTCACACTGTGCCTCACTCCAGACTCACTGCCCAGACATTCCTGGCTAAGGAAAACAGCTCGCTGATAAGATTAGTTGGTGGTGGAGATAAATGTGGATAAATGTGGATAAATGTGGATAAATGTGGATGAATGTGCCCTGTGCTGGTGTGGGAAGCCTGGCCTGGATACCCCACTTGGGTTTTTGTGCCCCACTCCTGGCTCCAGGGTGTGGGAAGCTGTGATGCCTCTCCCTGCTGCAAAGGGCTCAGTAAAAATTGGGATACAACAGCTTCCCACGTCATTAAAGACCCCAAAATCCTTCAAAATGCATCCACTCCAACCTTTTTCTTTGTCCTTCTCTGTCACAAATACTTGAGAATAATCTTGGAAAGGGAGAAACAATAGATTAATTGTCGCTGGGGTGGTTTGTTGTTTTTTTGGTTTTTTTTTTCCTGCATTTTTCTCCCTGAGCTGGCTGAGTGCAAGACTTGGCCCCTCTGTGCTCTCCCGTGTTTTGTGTCTGTCTGCAGCTCTCCTGCCCATCTCCCTGGCCCCTTTTGGGAATGTGATGTGAGCAGTTTGGAGCTTGGATTGCAGCCAGGAGGGTTTGTGAGAGTCTCCCCCAATGCCAACCTCCTCCCTGCCACAGCTCCTGTGCCTGCCTGCCTGCCTGCCTGGGAAAAGGCTGCTCTGCCAAAAAATCTGGCACTGGAAGCTGCACATCATCTTCTGCTGCCTGTCCCTGTGTCCCTCCCCCGGGGTTTGTAGTTTTTTTTCCTTTTCCCATCCCTTTTCCAGAGCTGGGGCTGCTTTCCTTGGCTTTAAGAGCAGAGTGACAACCTGTGCTGCATCCCCATCCTGCAGAATCAGGACACAGGGAACCTCCAAACCTGGAGCCCTGACAGCTTTTCCTTGGGTCTGGTGCCATCCCTTGGGTCTGGAGATGATCTTTTCCACTCTCATTTGTGTTTTTTTGTGTGTGTGGTGCTCTGGAGGAGCCCTCAGCCCCAGGCTGGGTTTCTGTGGATCTGCTCTCCCAGACTGGCTCCCGTGGATAAGCTGAGAGGAAAGTCAGATTTGTCTCCACAAACAAGCTGTCCCCAGGTCTGGGGACATTTTCTCCCTTACCAACTCCTCCCAGTAGTTTGGAGAAGCAGCTGTGAACACCCTGGTTCTGAGTTGTTTTCACTCTGAGAGCTCTTTCTGGTTTTCCTGTTGTCTTTGGGACTCTTGGGGGAGTTTTTAATTTCTTCTCATTTAGGAGAAAATACCTCCTTCTGTCTGTCCCCTCTGCACCAAACCTCAATAATTTATCCCAGTGTCTAAAGATCTAAGGAAAAAAAAGTGCAAATACTGCATGGCAGGGCTGCAGAGGGCTGAATTGACTTTCCAGGTGCCCAGGACACTCCAGAGCTTCCATAAATGCTGAATTTTTTTTTTTCCATAAATGCTGAATTATTTATAGAGCAGAGACAGTCAGACCCATTTCAGTACCCTGGGGACCAGGGAGCTGCAGAAATCCTGGGAGACCCTTCAGATCCATTCCCTAGGGAAAGCAAGGGAGGGTTTGCATCTCCCTCCTTTCCAAAGGAGGGAATGGTTGGAAATCTCTGGGCATGTTCTGTCTCCTCTCCTGCTCCGTCCCCTCCTGGGCACAGTGGCTTTGTGCTCTGCCTTCCCTCACCTCTCTTGCATTTTCCTTTTCTAGATGCAGATGCTGGACAAGTTCCCCATGGAAGGAGGCCAGAAGGATCCCAAGCAAAGGATCATCCCCTTTCTGCCAGGTAGGAGAGGGGGCTCCACAAAAATCCACGCAGGTTTTGGCACTGTTTTTTTCCCAGTCTTTGTGGGAGCACACACATAATTTAACTTTTATCTGCTGAACCATCTGAGCTACAGCGAGTTCTTGGCCTGCAGCACGTCCTTTAAAACCTCTGGATTTGTTAGCAGTGTTCCCAGGGAGGGTTAAACCCCTCCAGAATTCTGCACTGGAAGACCAAGAACCCCACAGGCACGGCACAGGGTGGGTGTGAGACTCCCCAAAATTGCTTTCCCTGCCCTGGGCAGCTCCAGGGGACATCCAGAGAGAAGGAAAGAACAATGGGATTCCAGCTGAGGGACAGATTCCCGTGGTGTTTGGGAGTGGCTGCTCAAAACCAGGATTTCTGTGCCCTGGCATGCCCAGCACCAGTGGTTTCATGCCCAAAGAACTGATGTGATAATCCGTGGCACTTTGTGCTGGGGGGGATTGCTGGTGGCTGCTGCTGTGGGGGGATAAAAAAAGAACCCTGATATGCCTTGGGAAAACAAGCAGCCTGCAGGGAATCTGTTTGACCACAGAGTTGTCTTTGCCCCCACCCCTGAGTAGCTAATGAGGATATTTAGGAATGTCACGGCACCATAATCATTTCCAGTGGCTGTCAGGTCTGCTTAGTGCAGCCCTTTGTGCTGTGCTCTGCCTCCTGGCTCTTCTAGAAACATAAAGGCCTTTATGGGCTTTGCTTTTTTTCTGAGTGCTGCGAAGGAAAAAAAAAAAAAAAGAAAAAAATCATTTCCACCCCTTTCTGAGCAAGAGAATCTGGTCTGGGTTTGTGATTCTGGCATTGTAACATCAGCAAAAGCAAAGCTCACCTGATTTAGAGCAGAAAAGCCCTTGCTGTACAAGTGCTCCTGCCAGCAGGGAGAGATGGAAGCCAAACTGGCAAAGGGCATCACTTGGAAAAATTGGAGTTGTGCTTTGGCTGTGCTGCACTTGCAGAAAATTCCCACCAAAACGCTGCTGTTTTGGGAAGGGAAGCCTGGTGGGAGCTGTGCTGCTCACACTCACCAATATTTGTTTCTCCTTGGTGTTGGAATAGTTTCCCTTTGCTCAGAAACGTGTCACTGGGATTTCCACTGCGGGAAAAAAAGGGGGTGGAAATTGCTGGGAAATAAAAGCTGGGAAAGCTGCAGGAGCCCTGTGCTTCGGGGAAATTGTGTTCTTGGAGTTGGGATCGTGGTGCTTTTGCCCTCCTGGAGCAGCCAGGAGCTGCTGCCTTTCCCTGGAGCCCTTCAGTGAGCCAGACCCTCCCCAGTGACAGGGAGGGCAAGCTCTGCTTCTGAAAGACAATTTCACCTGGCTCTTTTAATATTTGCTGGCTGTGCTGGAGGCTGATTCCTTCCTGGAGCAGTTCTTGGCTTTCCCAGTTTGGGGTGACAGCAAGTTTTGGTACAGCTGAAGCCCAGCTTTGTCTCTCAGCTCAGGGGCCACCCAGGTGAGCTCAGCCAGGTAGCCTGGGATTGTTTTCCTGCAAAAATGTGCTTCTGTCTCCCTAGAATTGCTGGGGTTTTGATTGTGTCCAGCTTCTGGGAATACTGGAGTTTGTTCCCAATCCCATTCTGAGCATCTGAATTTCATTACAGCAGGGGAGATTTGGCTGCAGTGGTTTCCTGCAAGTGCTCTGCTTTCTGGGAACCCCTCGCAGAGCAGCATCAGGAGTTGTGGCCAGTTCCCAAAAATGCAACTTTGGCTTCCTTAGCGAACCCTGGAGTGTCCCAAGCTCAGGGTCACCACCACGACCTGGGAAGGTGTCCTGGGTCAGTCTGTGAGCTCTGTCTGTCAGGCTGCTTCTCTGGAATGGGAAAGAATTCCAGGATTACCCCACATGACAACAGCCAGCCCACAGGAACTCTGCTTGCTTCGTGCTGCCTCGTTTTGTGAGCTGTGGCCTTGAGGATTTGACTTTTTATGGGAAATTTCTGCACACTCTGGCCTCTTGAAGCAGCTCTTTGATATGATCAGAAGGGACTTTTTTAAGTGCAAATCCTTCAGCCCACTCAGCTCTTGTGGAGCCAGAGCTGGGTCCTCCAAAGCAGAGCCCTTGAGCTTTGGGGCCAGGAATTGTCCCTTCCAGAGCCTGCTGGGGTTTGGATTTTCCTGGCAGTGCTCCTGCCCCGTGCCTGGAAATCTCTGCTGCCACACAAGGGGAGTTTGAAATGCTCTTGGAGCTCTCTGAGCTGGCCTGGAGCCCTTGGCAGGGTTTTTTTGGGTTGGTTTTTTTTTTTTTTTTTGGTGGTGCTGTGGCAGCAGCCAGCCCGTGGCCCTGGCACAGCTGGAGAGGAGCAGAGCCCTGCTGGTGCCCAGCTGGAATTTCCACCCTCCCTGGCTGGGATGTGACAGCGTGGAGACCCCAGCAAAGATGGAGCTGAGAAAACAAAAGAGCTCAGCTGGGCCTGCTGGGGAGGGCTGTGCCAGATCCTTCAGGAAACAGCTTTTTTCACTTTTTTAGCCTTTTTTTTTTTTTTTTTTTTTTTAAGGAACGTGGAGCTTTCCAAACTCTGCAGCCCCAGCAGATCCTGGCCAGTTTTGCTGCCTCGTTGGAAACGTGAGCCTCAGCAAGGAGGGGTTGCCTGAGGCTGAGCTCACTTTGGCTGTAAAATTGCTTTTTAGGAAGATTTAGCTGTGGACAGGAGTGAATTCCCAAGAAGGGAGTAGGAGAAAAGGGGTCTTGGGGAGGTCATTTTTAAAACCAGAATTAATTAATCTTTTTTAGGCCTCCTTTCTGCTCCCTTGCCAGCCCATCAACCTGCTGGGTGTGGGCATCAGTGCCACCCAAAAACTTGGGTTTTTTTCTCCCAGAACAACTGTGAGGGTGCTTTAGCACCCCACAAAACCTCTGTGAAGGCAGTGGGGGAAAACTCACACATTTTCCAGCTGTGGTACCTGACTTGGCTCAGTCCTGGTGCATCTTCCTGTGAGCTGGAGAAGGGACAAGGCTCCTCATTGTAATTTTCTGCTCTGTTGAGATGGGATCTCTGCTCTGGCAGGTTGGGAGGGCAGTCCCAGGCTGGCTGAACCCCTGCACAGAGCAATGCTGAGTGCAGGACTCCTGCAAACACCATCTCCCATTCCTGATCCCCCATCCCAGGAATAGCTGGCTGCTCCAGGGGCTGGGATTAATTATGTGTACATTCAGGGCTGCCTTTTTTTTTTTTTTTTTTTTTCTCTCTCTGAAGAGAGTTTGGAACCTGTGCCAGGGAAAATCTGGATGTGATTTGAAAGGTGCAGAGAAGTGAATTCTTTCCGAGGCTGTGGGGTGGGGGCAGTCCTGCAGGGTGAAGCAGGAGGCTCAGCTGCTTTTCCACTCCTGGAATCCCTGCCTTGCTGCACAGCTGGGATGCCCAGGGGGATGTTTGAGCTTCTCAACTCACTTCAGATCCAGCTTTTGGCTCCACAATTTTGCTGCTTGAGGTCCCTCTGCTTTTTTTTTTTTTTTTTTTTTTTTTTTGTTGTTGTTGTTTTTTTCCCCCAGCTCCTTGCTCCCACTATAACTCCAGCTCTGCCTGGAGAATTCCCACAGGAGGGAACAATTTGCAGAGCCCTGTTTCCCTGTTTTTGTTTGTTTGGAGGGATTTACCCCTTCTGTGGCCTGCCTGCTCTGTCTCACACTGCTGGACACCCAAATTCCTTATCAGCCTTTTCCCCAACATTTCCTGACACTTTTCAATCCCAGTAAAGGCAGTGAAAGCCAAGCTGCCCCTTTTTTTTTTTTCTCCCAGCCCCTCTTTGGGAGCTGCTCCATCAATTTTTGCTCTGGGTCAATCAAACCAACCTTGATTAAGCACAGAGGAGTTTGGTTCTTCCACTCCTGGGAGAACAGATCCTTTCTGGCACCAGAGGAATTTTCATGGCCAGACAGAATACCTTCAGCAGAGCTTCTCTTTTTTTTTTTTTTTTTTTTTTTTTTTTTTGTAGGGATTAACAGGTTTTTAAAGTCCAAAAAAAGCAAGCAGCACAGCCTGGAGTGTGGGTGCTTGCACAGCCAGGGCAGCCATTGTGTGTTAGTGCCTTATCTCAGTCGTCTTTTTCCAAAATCAACTTGTTGGACACATTCCTGGGTGATAAATGCTCAGTCCTCCCTTAGCTTTGTTTGTGTAAAGGACAGTGTATTTTACCACATTTCCTGCTCCAGGGAGTTCCTGGTGCCAGCAGGGATGGAGCCTGATTGCTCATGCATAACATTATCGATGTAAATAAGAAAAACCTAATTATTTCTGAGTCCTGGGATTGTGACAAGAGAGAGAAGCTGGGCAAGTGGAGCCTGCAGCAGCACTGACCTTTGCAGCTGATGGGAAACATGGAAAAGCTCTTTTATCAGCAGAGCTGCCTCCCTTCACGGGCCTGGTCCTTGCTGGGAGGGGCAAAAATGAGTTTGGAATCCTGGAGCCATGGAATGGTTTGGGTTGGAAGGCACCTTAAAGGTCACCTCATCCCAGCCCTGCCATGGTTAAACCCTCCCCTATCCCAGGCTGCTCCTTGGACATTTCCAGCATCCTCACCAGTTCTGGAAGCAGCCAAAAAATCCTCAGGGAGAGAGTGCTGGGAATGAGGTGCTGGGAACCATCCCCTTGCACGTTATTCCTGTGCTCTCTGCCCCCCTCCTGCTCCTCAGTTTCCCTTGTGTTTTGTTGTCTTTGGCCACGGGAAAGGCTCTGCTGTTCCCAGATTTAGGTCTGGGCCAAGGAAAACCTGCCCAGGGAAATGCTGCATCTCCCTGACCCTGCTGGCTGCCCACCTTTCCCTTCCAGGAGAAAAGTGGTTTCCTGCTCCCTCCTGCCTGTCAAGTCAAGGGTTTCTATTGCTGGATTTGGCAGCACTGAAGGGGCTGCAATTATGTTAATTAGGCATTTTGATTAAAGTCAGCTTTTTGTTAGAAAATAAACTTCCTTGTTGAAAAATACCAGATTTAGAGCAAATGGAGAGAGGAGCTGGATTTCCTGCTGGTTCATATGCTCCGTGCCTGGGCTAATTTAAGATCACTTGTGATGAATTTATTCCCCCAAACCTTATTCTTTTTATTATTACTCACTAGCATATGTTTGTTAAACATTTCAATATTCCCACACCCAGAGCTTATTATTTCAGCCATTTGTAACCTACCCACCCATCAGTGATTTCATTTTGGCAGACCTGGAACCAAAGCAGCCACTCTTTACCACTGCCAGCAGAACTGGTGTGATCCATTCATCTTTTTAGCAATCATCATTCAGGCAGAATCCTCGGCAGCAAACACACTGGGCTTGCTGATGCAAAGGGGAAAACTTGATCATTCTCTTGTCAGATGGAAAATAATTGCTCAGGGCTGCAGCCTGGGTGCTTTTCCCAGTCTTTCCAGACAAATTCTCTGCTCCCAGGCTATTCACCCTCAAAACAGAAAAATATTGAATAGAGGGGGGTTTTGTTTTTACTCCATCACACAGGCTGCCAGATTTGGCTCTTGGTTGGCAAGCTTTGAGAAGGATTGCACTGCACAGCAGAGCATTTCCCCCATCAGTGTCCCAGCCCTGCTGCCAAGAGCCCAGAAATGAGGAGCAATCCTGGCCTGACCCCATCCCTGTCACTGCAGGGCAAGGATGGGGCTGGCTCTGAGTGGATTCGCTGTGTGCTCCTCTTTCAAAGCATTAACTGAGCCTTGGAGGGAGAGATCTGGCTCCTCCAGAAGGTTCTTGCTCTTTGCAAGCTGAGCTTGGCTCGGCTTTAGTTCCTCTCTGCTTCAAAAATGCATTGGCATCTTGCACGAGTCACCCGTGATGCAGCTCCTGGCCAAGTCAGGGAGAAGCACAGGGGGTGACCCAGCCCTGGAATTGAAATTGGGATAAATCACCCAGCCCTGGACTTCCAATTCTGATCAATGACTCAGCCCTGAATTTAAAATTGGGATAAATCACCCAGCCCTGGATTTAAAATTCTGATCAATGACTCAGCCCTGGATTTAAAATTGTCATAATCCTGTGTCCTTATTATTGACATAATTATTGACATAATGCTGTGTCCTGTTCTAGCATCCAGCCCCTGGTTTCAGTAATTCCAGGGCTCCTGAGAGGACCCACAGCAGGGACAAAGCCATGGGGTGACTCTCCAAGTGCTTTTTCCCTGCTCTCTGTGGTTTGCAGGATGGACTGAGGGGAGTTTGGTTCTGGGTTACCCCATGGTGACCCCTTTGATAAAGGAAGGGGTCGTTGCTCTCCTTGGGTTCAAGGACGGGATTGGAAACCCAAGCAGGCACAAAAAAAAAACTTTCCTGTGGTGTTGGAGATGCCAGGAGGAACTCGAGGGAACTTCATCACCAACCAACCCCCCAAACCACAATTTTCCAGGTGATTGTGTTGCAGAGCAGTGCCAGCTCCTGGAGCTTTGGGAAGTGGTCAGAAATCCTGCCACGTCCCAGCCCTTTTGATCACGTATCTGTTTCACTGCCTGCTAATGGCTTTTGTCTCGTTAAACCAGAGAAGCTGTGCTCTGAGAGAGCAGCTTGAAGCATTTAGGACTCATTAGGCTTCAAAGGAAAGAGGCCTGTACCATAAGCCAGAGGGGAGGAAACAGAGTGGCCAGAGGATCCCATTAATGGAGAATAAAAATAAACCCCAGACAGGAAGGAAAATTCTATAGGTCTGACTCAGAGCTGCAGTCCCGACACTGTGGCTTCCAGGAGCTGCACAGGGAAAAACCCTCTGGGCTTGGCTGCTGCCCACACCAAGCCTGCACACCCTGGGCAATGGCACAGGGGATGTCCTGCCAGCGTTTGCAGGGATTTTGTTCAACCTAGAGCAGCAAAC